GGGGGGGGGGGGAAGGGAAGGGAATCAGCTAGCCTATTTTTTCCTCGGGGAAACTTTCAGACGGGTTCTATCACAGTTGTTTTGTTTTTATGTTTTCATTTTTAATATAGTCAACCTGCTCATGCAACCAATTCCATTAATACACCAACTGTGTTATAAGAGACCAATTTTAATGTTCCCCATTGTAGTGATTCATTGTGAACTGAACCTGTATGGCTTTTCTACACTTCCCAAGGCTGGTCTCGTAATACAGGTTTGACTGTGCTCAATTTCCTACAACTTTAATTCAAACAATAGCTTATATCTCATGGTACTATTTACTTTAACTAAAACATTGATGATTTGTTTACACAAGTCTACTGTCTATGAGTATGTAGATAGTTTTGAACAAATCTTTTTCATATTTGTATTACAAATGTTCACATAATATCATAATTATTAAATATCATAATTCTAAACAAGGTCTCTATTAGACTCAAAGTAATCCATTCATCACTATAGCTAGTAGGTTCTACATTTAACTATCTTGTAATGGTAAAAATAGTTAATGCAGAAAATACTTTTTAAATTTAATTTATTGTTTAAGTTGAAATTCTGTTTCTTCAGATAGAAAGTACATTTGACAAAGTGAAAACACAATCTGGTCGGGGGGGTAGTTGTGATATTGTGATAATGATCTTTTCTTATTGTAAACTTCTAGCACCATACTAAGCCCATGCTACAGTAATTTCTACAAACAGATTTTTAGAAATCAGGCTAAATCTGGAAATAAAAGGAAATTCTAGGAAACTCAAGTACATAATAAATGCTTTATATCTTGTTTCTATACAGGACAACAAGGCCTGTGTCTACCATGGGTATTATATCTTGGGTCATACATGTATAGTACAAATGTATACAGAAAGATGACGCACATACAGCAAGCCATGTGTATAGTGAACAACAGTACAGGTGTATAAATGAAAACTTACAAAAATCAAGCAGTCTGCACACATAGCACAATGAGGTTTTTATCACCGGAATCTTCTGAATGATAAGAACATATACAGATAATAATGTTATTTTTATACATGTGATTTGTGTTAGAGTTGAAGTTTAATGTCAGCTTACACACAAAGCATGTGACTTGTAATAGAGTTAAGATTACATACTACCTTGATGCCTGTAATTTGTGTTAGAGTTTAAGTTATAGTTACCTGTGGTTTGCATTAGAGTGAAGGATGGCTACCTTACACATTATACCTGTGATTTGTATTAGAGTTAAGGATAGCTACCTTACACATTATACCTGTGATTTGTATTAGAGTGAATGATGGCTACCTTACACATTATACCAGTGATTTGTATTAGAGTTAAGGACAGCTACCTTACACATTATACCAGTGATTTGTATTAGAGTTAAGGATGGCTACCTTACACATTATACCTGTGATTTGTATTAGAGTGAAGGATGGCTACCTTACACATTGTACCTGTGATTTGTATTAGAGTTAATGATAGCTACCTTACACATTATAACTGTGATTTGTATTAGAGTGAAGGATGGCTACCTTACACATTATACCTGTGATTTGTATTATAGTAAAAGATGGCTACCTTACACATCATACCTGTGATTTGTATTAGAGTTAAGGATGGCTACCTTACACATTATACCTGTGATTTGTATTATAGTAAAAGATGGCTACCTTACACATCATACCTGTGATTTGTATTAGAGTTAAGGATATCTACCTTACACATCATACCTGTGATTTGTATTAGAGTTAAGGATAGCTACCTTACACATTATACCTGTGATTTGTATTAGAGTAAAAGATGGCTACCTTACACATCATACCTGTGATTTGTATTAGGGTTAAGGTTAGGTATCTTACACATTATACCTGCGATTGGTATTAGAGTGAAGGATGGCTACCTTACACATTATACCTGTGATTTGTATTAGAGTGAAGGATGGCTACCTTACACATTATACCTGTGATTTGTATTAGAGTTAAGGATAGCTACCTTACACATTATACCTGTGATTTGTATTAGGGTTAAGGATAGCTACCTTACACATTATACCTGTGATTTGTATTAGAGTTAAGGATGGCTACCTTACACATTATACCTGTGATTTGTATTAGAGTGAAGGATAGCTACCTTACACATTATACCTGTGATTTGTATTAGAGTTAAGGTGGTATGCTACTTCCTCCTGATACACCTGCATATAAGACAACAGAGAAGGGAGTGTAAATCTTGTTTGTTATACAAGATGACAGGGAAGTGATTCTGTAAACCAAGGTAGATAAGACAATGGGGAAGTGATTCTGTAAACCAAGATAGATAAGACAATGGGTTAGTGATTCTCTAAACCCCCTCTGATGGATAAGACAATGACGGGGTCGGAGTCTCTGAACAATGAACATTGTTTAGGAAAGAAACTAGGTTGCTAGGTCACATTTTGAAGATTTGTACATAAATTTTACAATAGCAAGTGAAGCAGTTGAATAAAAGTACACGTAGTTGGCAACAATATACAAGTCTGTTCTCCGGGGAATATCACGATTGTAGGACTACCACAGTGACCAAACTTGTTCTCCGGGAAATATCATGATTGTAGGACTACCATCGTGACCAAACCTGCAATGATACAAAAAGAACAAAAGCCATGATTATTAAGAACCTATGTGAATATGTGATGGATGGACCAGAAGATTAAGTTGTTTCAAGTAAATCAATCAAAAGGCTGACATGGCATGGAGTTCTCTGTGACTCATTGTTGTATAGGATTGTCATTTTATAATACAAGTCTAGCTCAGTCAGTGAAGATTCTGAAAAAAAAAAAAAACTTAAATACAAAATTACAAATTTTGGGAAAACATTTGGAAATTTACTTCTTGAATTTGTGGGGTTTTCTTTGCCTTCAACCAGTAGAGTCATCCTGAATATATCTACTTGTAGTTTTAGCTGCGAAATACAATAAATTTGTTTATAACTTAGGTAAAAAAAAAATGATTTCATTATTTTCATACAAAGAGTTAATTCATTTTAGCTGTGAAATTCAATATTTGTATACGTACATTTACAGGTCATCCTTGCCAACTTTTTGAATTTCCATATGGCTCAAAATTAAAACAAAGAAAATTGTGTATATATCGCCTTGAGACAAAATGACCCTTTAAAACAACATATTTTGAGTTATTCTCTCAAATGAAATAATTAGATATGAGAATATAGGAAAAGGTTAGCAAATTCACTGGTTTAAAGTACTAAATTTGAGGGTCCAAAATCGGGAGTCTCCCTCCTACAATTTGTAAATAGGGCGAGTTGGCAAGTATGATGGATACGTTTTTGAATTTCAATATGCATATAAATATATGATTCCAGATGTAAATTATACTATTTTTGTATTTCTATAACAAGTATTTTTAGCTGTGAACTTCAATATATTTGTATTTAGACGTAATTTTGTGAATTTCAACATATAAATCAAGTTGTTGTAAGCTGATTATACCATGATAATGGCCTTCCTGGAAGCTGTACAACCATGGCCATTTGGTTGTCTGTAACAGACTTCTGCAGATCTAGAGAATATATTACGTAACACCATCACAGAAAAGCATGTTCAAGATTTACATCACCACATAAACATCAAACTATCAAATTACATGTGTTTAACAGATCACAGCAACTACAAAATAAACAAGCTCTGGGTAACAGCAGGAGGTGTTGTAAAGAATGACTCCTATATGCATAGGGACTTGCTTGATAATCTTGATACACTGACTGAGGGAAAGGTCCATCAGTCAATTATCACTACCAAAATTGAGTAAAACTAGAGAAGTGTTGTAACACATGAATGCCCTTTGCCACAGAAAATATATCTCACTGTTTGACAATTTTCTATAAATAGTAACGGTGACCTTGACTTAGTAAATAGTTTTTCAAAATCGCGATTTTGGTGGCCATATTTGATTTCTGATGGACCACAAAAATAACAACACTTTGTCAGGACATGAGTCATTGATTCCTACAAGGTTTCAGTTAAATCGGCTCGTTATAGAACTTGACTTTAAGTTTGAAATAGTTTGTTTCAAAATGGGGGCATTAGCGTCCATATTGGATTTCTGAACGACCCTTAAAATAACAACACTTTGTCAGGACCATGAGTCGTTATATTCCTACAAGGTTTCAGTTAAATCGGCCTATTAGAACTTGACTTTAAGTTTGAAATAGATTTTTTTCAAAATGGGGGCATTGGCTGCCATATTGGATTTCTGAGCGACCCGAAAAATAACAACACTTGGTCAGGGAGATGACAGTAACATGCCCAGGAAATGTAAATGAAATCCCTTCGGCAGTATTGCAGCTTAAGTTGAAAATGTAAAATATTAATAGACGACGCACGACGACGGACGAAGACGGGTAGCAAAAGCTCAGCTGACCTAAAAATGTAAGGTTGGATAGAAGTAGTTATTATGCTTGTCTACGTTTTCAAAGTAATTTACCTTCTGATAAAGTTTGATGTCAATCCTTTAATATTATTCTATATATGGAACCGACACTTTGTCGAAATCCATAAAGGGCTACAACTCCACTAATAACGCTCAGACAATAGACGTTTATCAAACTTACATGTCTAATCTTTCATGCTAATTAACCATATCTTCTATGATAAAATGGAAGTTAATCTTTTAACAATTACCCAAGATATTGAAAGGACACTGCACCCAAATCCTTATAAAGTTATAGGGCCATCACTCTAAAAACGTCATACATCCCTCTTCATTAGGTTTTATAGAAATTTGGATATTTCATTTATTTTTTTGTATTAATTTTAAAATAACCAGACTGTTATACTGACATTTCAAACTGTTGTGATTGTATTCTACCAATATGAATTTAAGGTTTACTGAGTACATTATGCTTCCCTTGGAATCCTCCTTACGTCCTAATTAGGTTTCCAATTTCCCAAGCCAGAAGAGACACATTCACTTCCTCTATGTCACCCCACACTTTATTAAACACACAATCTATTCTGCCTGTGTACACTTATTGATGAAACCATAAACTTGATGTGGGCTGCAATAGTGTTGCCCATCGTAAACAGGCGTTAATTGGCAGATTGTAAAAGCAAGCGCATGAACCTACCATAGTAGTTGTAGTAACGACCTGCCAAAGACATTCGGTATACCACTAAATATCAGTTCCAGAAAATTTAAGGGAAAATACTCCTTATCTATTGAGCTGACAGCAGGACATTTGACACACGCTGGCAGAAGAGCACTGTAACATATCCTTATGAAGGGAATGTCATTTCCAAAACAAAAACTGTATAGGGCTTTAAATTTGCGGGGTCAATATTTTGCGGTTTCGTAATCAGTACATATTCGCGGGGGTAAAATTTTGCTGTGCACCCGAATCCCATGTGTCGGGCAAAGTATTTTGAGTGTCATCATTTAAGGGTTAAACCTCGAAACACAGGTAAACCATATGAAAACACTGATCCTGACCGTCGTCATCTGCCAGTGACTTCACTCGAAAGAAATTCAAATGTGTAGAAATTCAAATGTGTATGTATCTTTACACACTTAAACTATAATTAAATTAATCACCTACTGTGTACACATAAATATGTTGGTGCCACCTTTATGTTAGTGTTTTTTTCATGGACTGCCCATGCAGTTGTCCGGTGATAATCTGATTTGAGTTCATTTAAGCTTGCATAACAGTGTTGGGTTATAAGTATTTGCAACATGTTGTGATAGGGTCCGTAAAAGTGGTTAATATTTTCAACAATTTCGCTGGTGTTTAGAATTAGCGGATACTAGTGAAAGCGTTTTAATAGCGGAGTAAGATAATGCATCTGTGACTACTAGAACAGCACATTCAGGTTAAAACACCTTAGAAGACACTTCGACGATGTCAATATTCCCCGACACCCTGTTTGTAGACATTTCCGATTTTAAGGGAGACAGACTATATATATACTTGTACATACAATGTACATAGGTACATACAATGTACATAGACTCGGCCATGAACTACAGATAAATTGGGGGTCATCTGAAAATTGACTCGAGTTTTTTTAGTACAGAGACCCAACATTATATACATGTGTATCAGTAAACATTATAGTTACATATGTTAATAAAAAGGTCATTGCTTATTTGTAGAACAATCACATATAGATAACATGTGTTTGAGACAACTCCCAATGTAACTGTAATCCAAGTCGTAACCCATGTACCTAGCTTGTCTGTCTCACTGTCAGCAATATCTAATGAAAGGAACAATGCGTACACCAGTAAGTTTACAACACACCTGCTCATAGGGTTTAAACCACTGTTGCTTTGTAGTCCATATGCCTAATTGAATACATCATTTTATTATTCAACGTCAGCATGACGATGCACGTAATATACATTAATCCTGTATTTTAAGGCAAATCTTGGAAGTGATATCCCTTTTTTTTTATGAATTGGTCAAATGATATAATGATATCATAATGGCTACAAGTCCAAAGGATATTAAAGACACAAGTTTGGTGATTCACTAGTCCTTGCTGAAATTGGCTAGTCCTGGATTAGAGGACAAAAATCAGAATCAAAACGTGATATTGGTGAACAACACTGATAAACATGCTGGGTCCAGTTACAGTAAGGTTACATCCCCTTAAGATAGCGTTGCAGGAATGTAAATAATATTTAAATTACAAAAGAAATCTTTGTTTCATTTGCCACATATATATATAATATGTGGCATTTAATGAAACAACATATGATAAACATGATATTTACTATCCTGGTAAAACATTTAATATTGAAAACATTCTAGTAAACAGTAAACAGTACACAGCCTTGTAGCATGGTTATTAGGTTTAGCACAGCTAGGAACTGATGAAACATTCGTGCTATCATGTGTAGTTGATGATGTAAAGCTGCAGCAGCTGAAAACTGTCAAACAAATTGAAAACATCCACACCAGATCAATTGATCTAAACCTAGTTGCTGACACCAGGTCTAATTCACTAGCACCAGGATAGAAAAACGTTTTATAAAAGAAAATCAATATAAAACTTGGACGTGACACAAATATTGTTAAAACAATTTTGTTGCTAAATCAGTATCATAAACAAGACGCCAAAGGGTATTGCTCTCCCAGTTCATTGGAAGTAAGGTTTACACATGTATATTGTGTGGCTCTTTTTAGGACTCCAGCACCTAAATCAACCAATCAGAGTGTTTCTTATCATTGTAACCCGGGCCCTAACTAAAGTTTTGTTCTGGTTAAATACAGTGCCTCTAAGTTAAATAAATGCAGTTATTGACAGATTTTTGTTATTGAATGTTATCTGTATGTATTGAACTTTGGGGAAAAAAATGACCTTTTTAGTAGATTTTAACATCTGAAGGTAAATTTATAAAGGGGTTAAAACGTCCTGGAGTATTCCTGTCCAGCTTCACTGGATTGATTTAGCTTCAGTAGTCAACAACTGAAGGCTGTATCATGTGACATACTTATATGCCATGAAACATGTCAAAATATACCTTTTGCTACCTTTGCTAGGTATGTATCTATGAATCTAAACAGTTGTCACTAGTGTTGAACTTCAAATATTAAAGCTACATATTGTATAC